CAGAGAGAAAGGTCTTCCTTTGCCATTGGTTCACCCTCCAATGGCCGCCGCAGCGTGCTGGCGCACCACGCTGATCCGATGGCAGGAGCCAGGTACTTCTCCTGGTCTCCCATGGGGTGCAGGGCCCAAGGACTTGGGCCATCCTCCACTGCACTCCCTGGCCACAGCAGAGAGCTGGCCTGGAAGAAGGGCAACTGGGACAGAATCCGGCGCCCTGACTGGGACTAGAACCCAGTGTACCAGCGCTGCAAGGCGGAGGATTAGCCTAGTGAGCCGCAGCGCCGGCCTACTGATTACCTTTTAAGTGCTCTATTAGTTATCACAATCTGGGTAGAACATACGGTATCTGTCCTTTTGGGACTGGCTTATTTCACTATGTATGGTGTTTTCTATTTTCATCCATTTTGTTGCAAACAGAATTTTTTTTACAGCTGTGTAGTATTCCATGGTGTACATATCTCATAATTTCCTTATCCAGTCTTCAGTAGACAGACATTAATGTTGATTCCATATCTTAGCTATTGTGAATTAAGCTGCAATAAACAAGGGGGTACAAATCATTTTCATTGGTTTCCAGAATTTATTTTTCTTTTGATTTCTTCTATGACCCACTGTACATTCAGGAGCATGCTATTCAGTCTCCATGTGTTTGCATATGTTCTAGATATTCTTGAGTTGTTGATTCCCAGCTTCATTCCATTGTGGTCAGAGAAGATGCAGGGTATGATTTCAATATTTTTGATTTTGCTGAGACTTGATTTATGGCCTAGCATATGTTCTATCCTAGACAAAGTTCCATGCACTGGTGAGAAGAATGTGCATACTGCAATTGTAGGAACAAAAATTCTGTAGATATCTGTAACGTCCGTTTGGTCTGTAGTGTTGATTAACTGTGTTATTTTCTTGCTGATTTTCCATCTGGTTGATCTGTCCATTGCTGAAAGTGGGGTATTAAGGTCCCTTATTACTACTGTATTGGAGTCTATGTCTCCCTTTGGACCTATGAACATTTCTTTTAGATAACTAGATGCCCTGTAATCAGGTGCATATATGTTTATTATAGTCATATCTTCCTGTTGAACTGATCCCTTCATCATTACATAGTGCCCTTTGTCTCTTTTAGCAGTTTCTGTGTTAAAGTCTATTTTGTCTGATATTAGGGTGGCTACACCAGCTCTTTTTTGGATTCTGTCGCCGTGGAATATCTTTTTCCATCCTTTCACTTTCAGTCTGCATATCTTTGTTGGTGAGATATATTTCTTGTAGACAGCAAACAGATGGGTTTCGTTTTTTAATCAATTCAGCCAGCCTGTATCTTTTAACTGGAGAATTGAAGCCATTTACATTCAAGGTGACTATTGATAACTAATGACTTGATCCTGTCATTTTTCCATAAATATTCCTAATGTTTACTTTGGATTTCCTTTGTATTTTTAGTGGAGGATTTTCTGCTTTCAGCTTCTTTCATAGTAATGACCAGGTTTCTGTGTTTCTGTGTGTAGCACATCCTTAAGCATCTTTTCTAAGGCTGGATGAGTGATGACAAATTCTTTCAACTTCTGTTTGTTATGGAAGATCTTTGTTTCACCTTCATTCATAAACAAGAGCTTTTCAGGGTATGGTATTCTAGGTTGACAGTTTTTTTTTCTCTTAAAACTTTGAATATATCTTGCATTTTCTACTAGCCTGTAGCGTTTCTGATGAGAAATTCACTGTGGGTCTAATTGGAGATCCTCTGAAAGTAATCTGGCATTTCTCTCCTGCACATTTTAGAATCTTTTCTTTATGTTTTACTGTGGAGAGTTTGACTATAAGGTGTCGTGATGAAGATCTTTTCTGGTCATGTCTATTAGGAGTTCTATGTGCTTCTTGTACTTGGATATCTTTCTTTCTCCAAATTAGGGAAGTTTTCTGTAATTATTTCACTAAAAAGGTCTTCTAATCCATTCTCTCTGTCCATGCCACCTGGAACTCTAAGACCCATATGTTGGGTTGTTTGATAGTATCCCATCAATCTCTGACACTGCTGTTTTAGTTTTCTAATTTCTTATTCTTTTTTGGTCTGACTGTAAAATTTCCAGAGATTTGTCTTCTAACTCAGATGTTCTTTCTTTCTTTTTCTTTTTCTTTCTTTTTTCTTTTTCTTTCTTTTTTTTTTTTGACAGGCAGAGTGGACAGTGAGAGGGAGAGACAAAGGTCTTCCTTTTGCCGTTGGTTCACCCTCAAATGGCCGCCACGGCCAGTGCGCTGCAGCCAGCGCACTGTGCTGATCCGATGGCAGGAGCCAGGTACTTCTCCTGGTCTCCCATGGGGTGCAGGGCCCAAGCACTTGGGCCATCCTCCACTGCACTCCCTGGTCACAGCAGAGAGCTGGCCTGGAAGAGGGGCAACCGGGACACAATCCGGCGCCCCGACCGGGACTGGAACCCGGTGTGGCGGCGCCACAAGGCGGAGGATTAGCCTGTTGAGCCATGGCGCCGGCCTCAGATGTTCTTTCATCTGCCTCACTGAGTCTGTTGTTTTGGCTTTCTACTGCATATTTTATTTGATTTATTAAATTCTTCATTTCCAATATTTCATTTTGGTTTCTCTTTAGAATCTCATTTTTTTTTTTTTGGACAGGCAGAGTTAGTGAGAGAGAGAGAGACAGAGAGAAAGGTCTTCCTTTGCCGTTAGTTCACCCTCCAATGGCCACCACGGCCGGCGCACCGCGCTGATCCAAAGCCAGGTGCTTATCCTGATCTCCCATGCAGGTGCAGGGCCCAAGGACTTGGGCCATCCTCCACTGCCTTTCCGGGCCACAGTAGAGAGCTGGAGTGGAAGAGGAGCAACCGAGACAGAATCTGGTGCCCCAACCAGGACTAGAATGGGGGGTACTGATGCTGCAGGCAGAGGATTAGCCAAGTGAGCCGCGGCACTGGCCAGAATCTCAATTTTGTGTGAAAAATTTTCAGTCATGTTATGTACAGATTTATTTAATTCATGAATTTGCTTCTGAGTACTTCTGAGTAATCCTACAATCAACTTTTTGAATTCTGTTTCTGGCATTTCTTCAATCTCTTTATCTTCACATTCTAGTACTGAAGTGTTGTGTTCCTTTGGGGTGTCATGTTGTCTTCCTTATTCTTGTTTCTTTAATTGACACATTTATTTTTTGGCATTTGTGGAGATATTTGTTGGGTTTTTCCCCCATGAAGGCTTCATCTTTGGACTATACCTCTATGGCTTAGTGGAGTGCCACCTCTTTCAGTGAATACCCAGAAGCATGTGCTGGGTGTGGCCAGGGAGCTCTGCTCAGTGTTCCACAGTGAAGGGAGTGTCCAAGGTGACACCCAAGCTGAGCAGCATAGTAAATTTTTTTTTGTTTTAAATCAGAGAGGAAGTTTGATCAGCACTGTTGGCATAGTCTCATGCTCACCTCCTCTCTTCCAAGGAGACTACTGCCTGGGCACTAGCCCCAGTGGGTATAATATTCATCTGCGCTGCCACAAAAACCACACAAGGGATCCATGCAGTCCTTGGTGTGAGCATGGATCCTGCAGCAATGACCCACACCAGGGAATCAGGGAGCCCCAAGCATGTGGAGTTGCCCTGCCCACAGTGTCTGCCCAAAGACCCAGCCACACCTTGAGCCCTCTCACATAGCCACAGTGTTTTCACAGTATCAACACACAGGGCTCCCACAATTCCAGCATCTGGCCCCCTGTCAATTCTCCCAGCCAGATTGAGGTGCCTCCTCTCAGCTGGTTGCTGGGTGCATGGACATGAGCTGGCACAGCTGTTACGTATGTCCAAAATGGCACTGGCCCTCTCTTGGCTGATTACAGCATGTCTGGGCCAGGTGGTCAGGGAGTGAGAAATTATCCCTCTAGGTTGGCAGGTACACTGTCCCCCACAGGGCTCCTATCGAGACTCACACCAGTCTCTTCCTGCAGCTTTATAGCCAGTGGTTTGGGGTGCTGCAGTTTGGTCTCACCTCACTCTCCAAAGTTGGTGCTGAGACTCTTGGCTGCTGGGATCCTGAATTATGTGCATCCATACCTTACACGTAGGTCCACAGGTTTCCTCTAATTTGTGTGGAGTTTCCTCTGCAGATTTCTCCCTAACTCTTCCTTGAGACTGCACTCTTTGCAGTTTTTTTAAACTATCTTTCCCTAGTCTACAGCAGTAAACTCCCTCCCTATTCCACCATCTTGTGAGTTCTCTATTTCTTAATACTCGTCTATGAACTCCATTAGGGCTAGAGATGTATTACTTCATCATTGTATTTCATGTGTCTAGTACTTAGTAGGTACTCAGTAAGTTTGTTGAGTAGCAAGAAGGAATCTTAAAATGCCAGTATCCCATATTGGAGTGCTGGTGCAATTCCCAGCTGCTCTACTTCCAATGCAGCTTCCTGCTAATGTACCAGAGAAGGAAGAGGATGATGGCTCAATTACTTAGGTACCTGGTACCCATGTGGGAGAGCCAGCTGGAGTTCATGGCTCCTGGCTTTGGGCTGGCCCAGCCCTGGTTGTTGTGGGCATTTGGGAAGTAAAACAGCAAATAGAAGATTGGTCTCTCCCCTTCCTCTAATTCCCTCAAATGCTCTTTGTCTCTCAACCTCTCTCTTTCTCACTCTGCCCTTTGAATAAATACGTAAATAAACATCTTTTTAAAAAAATGTCTCCCAGTCACCTCATCTATACTAAAAAAAAGACAAGGAAATAATATGTACATGTGGACACATTAAAATTGTGAAATTCTTGAATAAAAAGGAATTATATGACAAGAATAAGTTTACAAGTTTATCTTCAGACACTTTGGCAAAAGTAGAAATTAGATCTATTGAATTACCAGAAAAGATCTCCTGCCAATTCCATAGTCCTGCTACAGAACTGGGATGAAACTGTGTACACTTGCCTGTCTTCACTTATGGTCTTTATTTCCAGGAGCAGCACATGACCCTTCACAGAAGAGGGATTCATTGCAGGTTTGTGGAACTGGGGAACATTTCTTACCCATGGATCTAGAAACCATCTGCCTGCATTCAGAGTCGACAGGAATGTCCAATTGAAGAAGACAGGATGATCATTTGCAACTTCAGGCTTGACCTCCCTGATATTGGTTGTTCTTCTCAGATCATAGTCGTGCATGAGGAAAGGCACATTATCAAAACTGCAGGCAGAGGTAGAAAAGAGGGTAGAATTTCAGGCATGGAAAGCCAAGACACTGTGGCAAAAAAATCTCCTACATAAAGGACCTCGGTTGGTGAGATCCCAGTGGAAAGAAGTGGTAATCAAAGAACGAAGTAGTTTTCTCTGAAGGGAGGAGGGAACTTCTACTTTGCTTTTGGCCTTATCTAAATACTGATGGAGTTTGTGGATTCAAAAGGCTTCCATAGCTTAGGCAGCTCATGTCAAGAGCCTCCGGTGGTCACTGACATCATACATAAGAGTGTTAATTGTTAAATTAACAACAGGAATTACTGTGTACTAACTTCCCATGCAGGACCTCTGTCCTCGAAGAGTTGTATTATAATTATGTCTAAGTGCTCACAAAAGATGTATCATAAGTTTCTAAAAAAAAAAAGAAGTGAAATTAAGAAGCAATGACTTTGAATAGCCCTTGTCTCAACTGTTGAGGAACAGTTTTTTGGTTTTTTAAATTTTTTTTTCATGCAAATTGTTGAACTCTTCACTTAGTATGGAGTTGGTCTTCTGTGTATGAAGAAGAGGATAAAGGATCTTATTGGAGAATGGGACTGAGAATGGGAGAGGTAGGAGGAGGAGTTGGAGTGTGGGTGGGAGAGCGGGTATAGCAGGAAGAATCACTATATTCATGAAGTTGTACTTATGAAATGCTTGAAGTTTGTATTTCTTAAATAAAAGGTTTTTTTTTTTGGGAAAGGGGGGGGGCAGAGGTAGATAGACTGATATTAGCCACCATGACAGACCCAGAAAGTCCTTCAATGTTACAAGTCCTACTAGGGCTCCTTAATACCTCTCAAATCTCAGCAAAGGACTAAGGACAAGTCATTTGCAATTTGATGTCAGTATCTTTCTGATCTAGGAATCAATCTTTCATGACATATAATCACATCAGTGATGCTGGAAAAAAAAACAGTTTCTTTATTTAGGGGTTTTCTGGCATAGGGGGAAGCAGTGGTTATAGTAATGGCCTGAGCATAAGAAAATGGGGCTGACGATAACATGGGGTATTGAGTCTCAGGAAGCATACCAACCAGGAATTCACACAATCTGCCTGTATTTTTCTGATCCTTTTTCTAGTCAGGCACAGAGGGGAAAAGGACACCTTTCTTCCCCTCCCTCCTTCCCTCAATTCAAAATAAAATGTACATTCAACTAAGTTTTTTTTTTTCCTCTGAGTTTTCTCTCACAGGGAACTCTTCACACCTGGTGATCCTACAAATTTCTCAGAATAAGCACTTGAACCCCTAACCAGCATGCTTCCTGTCTGGCTAGCACAATACAATCACAAGACCTGCAAGACACCACTGCTGCTAGTTCCTCATGTAGCTTTAAGGTCTGGGATGCCCTTTGAGGCTGATGTTGCTTCTAGAGAATCAGCTCTCTGGGGCTGTTCTTTTTCTTTTCTTTTCTTTTTTTAAATTTATTTATTTGACAGAGTTAGTGAGAAAGAGAGACAGAGAGAAAGGTCTTCCTTCCGTTGGTTCACCCCCTCAAATGGCCACTATGGCCAGAGCTATGCCGATCCGAAGCCAGGAGCCAGGTGCTTCCTCCTGGTCTCCCATGCGGGTGCAGGGCCCAAGCACTTGGGCCATCCTCCACTGCCTTCTTGGGCCACAGCAGAGAGCTGGACTGGAAGAGGAGCAACCGGGATGCCAGTGCTGTAGGCAGAGGATTAGCCAAGTAAGCCACTGCACCGGCCCCTTGGGGCTGTTGTTTCTTAAAGCACAACCCTTCCTCTGTGATGTAAAACCCTGTCCCTTTTCTTTTTCCCAGCCTCTCTGGGACTGTTGCTTCTTAAAGGCACTGCCCTTTATAAAATACTTCATCAATAAATTACTGCTAAATCGATCTTTGTTGCCTCAGATACCTTGGGCCACTGTACACTTGTTAGGCACATGTCCTGAGTCATTTTGGTCCTAGATTCTTCAAACTTAATAGCATCATTAAACAAGTTTCTGGTTCTGCTATTTGCTTTAGAGAAGCTCTTACAAAACTCTCTATTCCTTTTTCCTTAAAATACTTATGAAGAAAGCATCTATACTGACCATGAGAAGGGTGAGGACTTAGTCTCCTGACATAAACAGCTACAAAACTGGGCAGAATAAAGGAATTACATCTAATGATCCCCAATAAATTGGCAACAGAGAGCAACATACTAGGACCTCTAAGATAAAGGACACAAATCAAAGAAAATATCTCATCACATAGGCTTCCTTCCCTTAGGTGAATACCAGACTGTGGTAAAGGTACAAGAGGGGCAGACTAAAAGGGACCCAGCTACCTTTCTGAAATGAGGAAAAGAGGTGAGATTAAAGACAGGTTACAATAGTTGGAATTTGTGGGTTAGAATCCCACAGAGAATGGAGCTATGTTTTATTTTAAAAACAGTACAAGGGAAATATGCAGCAAGGTCCCTTGAGTATGTTACTAAATACCAATTAATTCCTAATTTGCCTTTTGTCCTTATGAATTTGTCTATTCTAGATATTTTATATAGAGTCATGTATTATTTATTCTTTTGTGTCTGGCTTTCCTGCCTTCATGTAATATTTTCAATTCATCATCTATATTCTGAAATCCATATTATAGCAAACTTCATTCATACTTATGGTTGGATAATATTTCATTGCATGTATTTAGCACATGTTGTTAATCTATTCATCTGTTGATGAACACTTGGATTATTTCTACCTTTTGGCTATTGTGATTATTGTTGCAGTGAACATTGACTTAGAAGTATCTATTTCAGTCCCTGATCTCAATTATTTTGGGCAAATAACTAAGAGTGGAATTACTAATTCAATTCTATGTTAAGCTTTTTCAAGTACCTGATTGTTTTTCACAGTGGCTGCACCATTTTACATTATCACCAACAAAGTCCAAGATTTCAAATTTCTCCAAATCTTAAACAATTGTTATATTCCATTTTTGATTATAGCCAGACTACTAGATGTAGAGTGCTATCTACTTGTGGTTTTGAGTTGCATTTTTCTGATGCTTAGTGATGTTGCATATTCTTTCATGTTCTTATTGTCTATCTGTATGTCTCTTTTCAGAAACGTCTATTCTAGAACTTTGACTATTTTTATTTGGGGTATCTTTCTGTTGTGGTGTTAAAGGAAATCTTTACAAATTTTGGATATAAACCCTCATCTGCTATAATTTGCAAATTTTCTCTCTCATTGTGTAGGTTGGTTATCTTTGTGCATTGTTGACAATATCCTTTGATGCTCAAAAGTCTAAGCTATTTATTCTGTTGTTTTGCTTTTGATGTCTTATCTAAGAATCCATTACTAAATCCAAGACTATGTTTTACCTTAAGAGTTTAATAGTTTTAGATCTTATACTTAGAACGCTGATCCATTTTTAGAACACATCATTTTTATGGTGTGGGATGGGGGCATTCAGTTGCTCTGTACATTTTAAAAAATCAATTGGTATCAAAAATTGAAAATATAAATTACACAATAGGAAAATATTTGCTAACCACATATTTGAATTAGAAAGTTCCTCTTTAATTCATGGATTATTTAGAAGTAGATCTATTTAGAATACAGGTGTTTAGCTATTCTGTTAAGTTTGTTACTGATTTCAAGTTTGGTTCCATTGTGAATATAGAACTCTTCTGTGCGATTTAAATTCTTTAAAATTTGCTGAGGTTTGTTTATGGCCCAGGATGTAGTGCTTCATGGGTTGAGTGTTGTTATAAAAATGTCATCTAGATTGTCGGTTGATGTTCAACTCTTTGGTTTTCTGTTTAATAGTTGATGCTATTCAGCTCTATCTTTGATGATTTCTATTAATGGCTACATCAGTTACTAAGATAGGAATGTTAGACTTCAACCATGGTTGATTTGTCTAATTCTCCTTCCAGTTCTGTCAGTTTTTTCTTCATTTATTTTGTAACTCTATTAGTAGGTTCACACATTAAAAATTATTATTCCTGCCTAACAAATTAACTTTTTTTTTATTTGTTTTTATTTTTTGACAGGCAGAGTGGACAGTGAGAGAGAGAGACAGAGAGAAAGGTCTTCCTTTGCCATTGGTTCACCCTCAAATGGCCGCCACGGCCAGCGTGCTGCGGCCAGCACATCGCGCTGATCCGATGGCAGGAGCCAGGTACTTCTCCTGGTCTCCCATGGGGTGCAGGGCCCAAGCACCTGGGCCATCCTCCACTGCACTCCCTGGCCACAGCAGAGAGCTGGCCTGGAAGAGGGGCAACCAGGACAGAATCCGGCGCCCCGACCGGGACTAGAACCTGGTGTGCCGGCGCCGCAAGGCGGAGGATTAGCCTAGTGAGCCGTGGCGCCGGCCATAACAAATTAACTTATAAAAATCATTTTGTGGGGCCAGCATCATGGCACAATAGGTTAAGCTCCTGCTCTGTGATGCCAGCATCCTGTATCTGTGCCTGGGAAGACAGAAAGAAGATGGTTCAAGTGCTTGGGCCCCTGCCCACGATGTGCAAGACCAGGATGGAGTTCCTGATTCCTGGGTCTGGCCTGGCCCAAACCTTAATATTGCAGAAATTTGTAGAGTTAACCAGTGAATAGAAAAATCTCTATCTCTTCCTCTCTCTGTTGCTCTGCTATTCAAATAAATTAATTTTTATAAATCATCTTTGTCCAATTAAAAAACAAAAAACAGAATCACTGTGTGATGTTCCTTTGCTTCCACTGATAATTTTCTTTGTTCTCAAGTGTATCTTCCTAAGGTTAATAGAGCCATTCCATGCTTGATTATGATTTGCATAATATATTTGCATTCTGTTATTTTAATCTACCTGTATCATTAAAGACGAATTTCTTAGAAACAGCATATAGATGGTTCTAATTTAAAAAATTAATTCCACCAATCTTTTAATCGGTATAGTTAGGTCATTTATATTGATTTGTTTAAAGTTTATTTTATGTATTTTAAAGACAGAATTACAGGGAGAGGTAGAGCACAGAGATCAAGTATAGTACTCTGGTGTACATTGGCTTTATGCATAGGTGATTGAAAAGTCTGCCTAGGACTGTATATACAGGTCTTAAAACTCCCTTACTCCATAATCTATTCCTAGGATAATTAAACAAAAACATATTATTCCATATAATAAAATATTAATATTATTCCATAGAAAACACATAAACATATAAAACATTAACATATTATTCCATATAAAACATATAATTCCATTTCTGAGTATATTTCCAAAATAACTGAATGTAGGATCTTAAAGAGATATCTGTAGTGCCAGCATTGCCATTTAGCTGGTAAAGCTGCTGCTTCCAACACTGGCATCCCATTTGGGTGCCAGTTCATGTCCCAGCTGTTTCACTTCTTATTCAGCTCCCTGCTAATGGCTTGAGAAAGCAGCAGAAGGTGGCCCTGCCACCCATGTAGGAAACCTGGATGAAGCTCCTGGCTTTGGCCTAGCCCAGCACTGGCTGTTGTGGCCATCTGGGGAGTGAACCAGTGGATGGAAGATCTCTCTGTCACTCCCTTCTCTAATTCTTTCAAAAGAAAGAAATAATTTTTTAAAAAGGTATGTCGGCCGGCGCTGTGGCTCAATAGGCTAATCCTCCGCCTAGCAGTGCCCGCACACTGGGTTCTAGTCCCGGTCGGGGCGCCGGATTCTGTCCCGGTTGCCCCTCTTCTAGGCCAGCTCTCTGCTGTGGCCTGGGAGTGCAGTAGAGGATGGCCCAAGTGCTTGGGCCCTGCACCCCATGGGAGACCAGGAGAAGCACCTGGCTCCTGCCATCGGATCAGCGCAGTGCACCGGCTGCGGCGGCCATTGGAGGGTGAACCAACGGCAAAAGGAAGACCTTTCTCTCTGTCTCTCTCTCTCTCACTGTCCACTCTGCCTGTAAATAAATAAATAAATAAATAAATAAAATAAAAAGGTATGTCTACACCCATCTTCATAACAACATTATCATGTTAGACAATAGGTACTGGCAACCCAAATGTCCATCAAAAATAACTAGATTAAACAAAATGTGGCATATACAGATAATGGAGTATTATTAAGCCTAGAAAAGGAAGGCTTGCACACTCCATAGGTAACTTCATATTCAAACGTGAAATTCTGAAAGCCTTTTCTCTAAGATCAAGAACAAGGCAAGAATTTCTGCTCTTGCCATTTCTATTCAACAGAATATTGGAACATCTAGTTGGTGCAATAAAGAAACAGAAATAAAAGTAATCCAAGTCATACCCTTCTCCTGTCCCTAAAGCATTTCACTTCTGGCATCCAAATAGGTTGATCTATAAATCTGTTATTTCTCATTTAGATATAAATGCACAAATTATTGAATAAGCTCTTGTCTCTGCATGCAATGCTTTCTCTCCCTGATCTGTATTTGGTAAAATATTTTCTTTAAAGGTTCAATACAAACACAACTTTAAGCATAGAATTTGCTTTCTTCTTTTAAGATTTATTTATTTATTTGCAAGTCAGAGTTACACAGAGAGAGGAGAGGCAAAGGGGGGGGGTCCTTCATTTGATGTTCACTCCCCAGATGGCTGCAACAGCCGGAGCTACGCCCATCTGAAGCCAGGAGCCAAGAGCTTCTTCCAGGTCTCCCACGTGGGTGCAGGGGCCCAAGGACCTGGTCCATCTTCTACAGCTTTTCCAGGCCATAGCAGAGAGCTGGATCAGAAGAGGAGCAGCCGGGTCTTGATCTGGCACCCATAAGGGATGCCGGTGCTTCAGGCCAAGGTGTTAACCTGCTGCGTCACAGCGCAGGCCCTGATTTCTTCTTTTTACATATTAGGAGGTGGCAATTTCCTCCACGGAGGTTACAATGCACCTAACTTAATTTCTCTGAAAGATTTATTCTCCTGTGGTTATTAGTAAACATGCTATGTCTCCTTCACTAGCTGAGAGCATCTCTTAGGCATGACTATTTCTTTTGAAAGAAAGAGTTACAGAGAGAGGTGGAGAGAGAGAGAGGTCTTCATCTGCTGTTTCACTTTCCAGATGGCTGCAACAGCCGGAGCTGCGCCAATTCAAAGCCAGAAGCCAGGAGCTTCTTCTGAGTCTCCCACTTGGGTGCAAGGGCCCAAGGACTTGGACCATCTTCCACTGCTTTCCTAAGCCATAGCAGAGAGCTATATCAGAAGAGGAGTAGCCAGCACTAGACCTGATGCCCATATGGGATGCTGTTGCTTCAGGCCATGGCGTTAACCTGCTGGGACACAGCGCTGGCCCCAGGCATGACTATTTCTTACTTGTTTGCCTCTCCCCAGCACTCAGAAGGCCTGGAATATAGCAGGCATCTAGAAAATGTAAGCTAAATAAACAGCTAATTTAGTACATAGGATTTAGTTGTAAGCATGGTTTGCAATGGGGACACATTTGAATTATATATGGAGAGTCTAACTGAGAATGTGGAGGTTTATAAGGGAGATGTGGCTCATACGTGTTGTATGTACATATAGGCGAAATTTCTCAGGGCTTACCCTCTCCGTGCTTTTTACCAGGCTGGTTCCTTTCCATGGACCTTATCCTTTCCTGTCCCCTACCCCAGTCTCTGCTTTCCTACCTGAACTGTACATCAGTCTCCAGCCCATAGGCCCCAAATTCAACAGCTTTCTCAAAGGCCATCATGGTATTCTCTGGTCCATGCTGCGGAAGAAAAAGATATCAGGCCCATGTCTCAGGGTCTTTCCTCCCAATCACATCTTTTATAGTAGGGACAGAGCTACACAATTTAAAAGCTCCATTAGCTCTCTTTCCATGGAGTCTGTGTTCCCCTCTGTTCAACTGAATTCTGGGACTCTGCTTATTTGAGGCAATGTCTTTGGGCTTGGTAAAGAGAAATGGACTGAGTTAGGTGACTTTAATTCAAGTCCATGCTCTACAATTAACTCCTTATTCCTATAAAAACAATTATTTTTCCTTTCCAGGGGCTCCTATGGTTCCAAGGCCCTCTTTTCTCACTCATGTATCCCATACATACCTGTACTCACCCTTATTCATCATGCTCAGACCTACCATGGGTGCACCTCTATGTGCAAAGAAGACTGGTTTGGGCCCCAAATCCTCCTTTTCCTGAATGCAGGGAGAATGAATCCCCAGTGGCATCAAATAAAGACATACAAGGATAAGAAGAAAAGGCAGTCCAACAGCTACCTGTATAGCTGAAAAAGTTATAAGGTGGGGGAATTTGGGGTGAAAAACAAAAAAGAGTGATGGAGAAGTAGTCTAAGCAACTAATTATTCCAAACAAGCAGACAAGGTAAATCCCATTCTATGGGTTTCACCAACTCTGTGAACTAGCTAACTTACTTTCTATTGTTGTCACAGTCCCACTTATGTTCAGTGATTTGACTATAAAAGCACAGGACTATCCAAACATAAGGCATTATTATGGCAAGATTATTGGAACTGGGATTTATCAAGGAAGGAAAAGAAGGGAACGGGAAGGGAAGAGAAAAGGGAATAAATGTAAAGGAGCAGGCTTTCAGAAGGACAAACTTGGGTATTTCTGAGAAGCCTACAAAAATCTTTCTAAAACAACCCTCTATTTAGGGCAGTTCAGTAGGAGGAGGAGTACTAACAGACAGAAGTCTGGGTTCAAAGTCATGCTTTGCTACTTCCTAACTATGTTTCTAAGGATGTGATTTAATATTTCTTCTGCAAAATGAGGCTATCTTGTTGCTACCATTGACTTCACAGGGTGGTTAGGACTATTAAGTTATAATGACATGTTGGCTTGTAATAAGTCACATGAGTTGTAAGTGTTCACTTATTATAGTCACTCAATAAATATTAGTTACTGACTTCCTTCCATCTGTCCCTTCCTCCCCTCCCTCTTCCCACACTCTCACATACAGAGCCTATCCATAATCCTGTTATTACTGGCCAGTTGACAACATTTACTATTTTAAACCTCTGAGGATTTTACCCATTTTTACATTTTAAAGTTACCGCTTATGCTTCAGTGACTTTCAAATCTAGGTCTCCAGTTCTAACCTCTTAACCTTGTGAATATATTACATCTCTTGAGCATTTCTTCCTCGTAATACGTTGTCCTGTATCTTCTTATTCTAACTATAATTTAGAAAGTGAAGAAGAAAAGAGTTTATTATTGCCCTCTTTAAGCTTTTGATCCAGAAATGTATTCTAAAATTTACCCACACATATATATCAAAAACACAGTGGCACCACTATCCATCCAGCTCTAGTTTTGCCTACATCCTTCCATTAGTTAGGAAGCAGATACCCCCTACTTAACCAACAGTAAAAAAGGGAGGCCTAGAGGGAAGTAGCTCTTGGTGGTTTCTCAGTAACTGTGGTGAAAGATAACTCCATTCTCAGAGCAGTTTAATGTATAAATCTGAATCTCTTTGGTTTCCATTATATTAGGACAAAGAATAGAGAGGAAACCAATGGCAGAGACAGATATTTCTGCTTCTGCTGTAAATCCATAGGTATGACAGGGACTAACTGGAGCCTGCTTTGAGTTAACTGGATGTAAGCAAGTATCTTGGACAGTACCAGTTGAGACTAGTAATATTTGAATGCAAACTGAAAGTACTGTGACTTTACCAGCACTCTGGTAAATTAAAATGTCCTCTACTGCTCTATCCCTAGTTAGAAAATTTGCAACAACACAGAGGAAGATCTTATTTTTCCAGAAGAATCCCTCTTAGAAGAAGGCCTATTTAGTTACAGAAATACTATGACAGGCCACACGGGGTGGTAAGTGAGGGCCCAAGGAGCATGCCTGAGTAACAAGCTAAATGAATTTCAAAGAAGGATGGGAGGATAGCTACTAAGCTTCCACTTTTCTGAGTGGAGTATGAAAGCTAAAGTCAAATCTGAGGGGAAAAGACAAGGTTCCATCCCACATGACATACCTTCTGTTTCCAAATAGATCACACAGAAGGCCACAGGCCAGGAAAGGAGAGTCATCACCGTAATGCAGCACAGGTGTATGTAGGGAGCAAAGATCTGAGAGAGAGCCAAAAATCAGGCTGGATGCATCTGGACAGAGAGTGCGAAGGGCAAGAGGATGCTTACCTGTAGCGACAGCCCAACTGTCAGCCACTTGTCTTTCCAGAATTTAAACAGAGCAAACAGTAAAAGCATGTATAGCAGAATTGCCAGTACAATAGTAACCTGAGAAACAGAAAAGATCTTCTGACTTCCAGGCACTGGTTCTAGATCAGAACCCTCCTTTGGAATTACATGAGTGGCTTTACAATCTCAGGGACCTCATCTCATCCTTTTATTGTATTCATTTTTGCAAATCCTCATTCTTGGATAGGTTCAATCATTTCTCCTTTTCACTCCTAAGTCTTTGTTGTACAGCATGGCTGGGAAAAATTACCCGCTTGTGTGTTCTAATACAATTAGCAATTTACCACTTCTAAGAACAGGTGAGCTCTCACATGGCTTGATATCTCTCACTCAGTTTCAACAACGGCCACTAGAAACTTTCATTTTACTAAAAACTTTCATTTTTCTTTTTGCCTCAATTATATACTCAATACTCAACACAATAATAAGTAAATAATATTATATTGTGTTTTTATGTAATTTTCCTCTACAGATTGTAAGCTTCACAAGATCAAAAATAATAATTGTATTGTTTAAGATTATATCCTTAGTGCTTGGCAGAATGTCTAGCAAAGTATTTATTAAATATTTATAAAACAAATGAACAAAATCTGCATGTCACAATACTATATACATCATAGAAAAAAGAACATATCTAACGAAATTGAATCCACAATTAACCCTCTCACAAAAAAAAAAAAAAACTCTTCACCAGCTTCCATGGTAAATACCACCAAATACTAGAAGAAATATATCTCCAATCTCTCACAAACTCTTCCAGAGAACAGGAAAAGAATGCTTTCCAATTCACCCTATAAAGTAAAAGAACTAGAGCTACCCAAATCCACCAAGGACATGAGAAGAAAAATAAAGCATAGACAAATCTCTTATGTTAGGTGGATGAAAAAATTGTAAATAACCTATTAGTTGGGCCGGCGCCATGGCTCAATAGGCTAATCCTCTGCCTTGTGGCACCGGCACACCGGGTTCTAGTCCCAGTCGGGGTACTGGACTCTGTCCCGGTTGCCCCTCTTCCAGGCCAGCTCTCTGCTATGGCCCGGGAGTACAGTGGAGGATGGCCCAAGTGCGTGGGCCCTGCACCTGCATGGGAGACCAGGATAAGCACCTGGCTCCTGGCTTCGGATCAGCACAATGCGCCCGCCAAGGCGGCCATTGGAGGGTGAACCAACAGCAAAAGGAAGACCTTTCTCTCTGTCTTTCTCTCTCACTGTCCACTCTGCCTGTCAAAGTAAAAAAAAAAAAAAAAAAAAAAACCTATTAGTAAACTAAATGTAACAGAACACAAAGGCTGAATTGTCAAATCAACTCATATGAATCTCAAATCCTGCTCAACACCAAACTGTGAATGACTTAAAGGATATCAGCAGATAAAAAATGTCCCCCTGTAGAAATCTGATCATGTCAAATGTAGCACATCATGAAAGGTCTTTCCTTTCTTGTATCAGCACCTATTCTATTTTGGTACTTAAAATGTGAGCTGGATTTTTAAAAAGAGCAGTAGAAACACTGCTTCACAGAAGGAATCATTTTGGCTATGTAACACTTTACTTTTCATTTCTTTTTAAAATTTTTATTAATATAAAGAGAACAACAGTTCATGTATTTCAAAGATGACATTTTTTTTTTTTTACAGGCAGAGTGGACAGTGAGAGAGAAACAGAGAGAAAGGTCTTCCTTTTTTTCCCATTGGTTCACCCCCCAATGACTGCTGCGGCCGGCATGCTGTGGCCTGCGCACCGCGCTGATCCAAAGCCAGGAGTCAGGTGTTTCTCCTGGTCTCCCATGCAGGTGCAGGGCCCAAGCACTTGGGCCATCCTCCACTGCACTCCCAGGCCACAGCAGAGAGCTGGACTGGAATAGGAGCAACCAGGACAGAATCTGGCACCCTGACCGGAACTAGAACCTGGGGTGCCAGCGCCACAGGCAGAAGATTAACCTATTGAGCTGCGGCACCGGCCTCAAAAATACAATTCTAAGATAATTATATTTCCCTCCATCCCACTCTCCCTTCTTCAATCCCTACCTTCCTTCATTTTTTTTAATCTCCACAAAAATGTAATTTTAATCCACTCTATAATCACAGGGTTAGTGCACCACTAACCATAAAATTCAACAAAACGTAGAAAAATTACAGCTCCACAGGAGTATAAACATGAACTACAAACAACCAATAATCATATCAGAAGATATCTGTTACATTCCTATACTTTTTTTCTATATTAACTACCACATATCAGAGAAAACATGATATCTGTCTTTTTGGGACTGGCTTATTTCACTAGGCATAATGGTTTCCAGTTACATCCATTTTATTGCAAAAGACAGGATTTCATTCTTTTTATGGCTGAGTAGTATTCCATAGTGTGTGTAAATATATATATATATATAAAATACATATACATACACACACACACACACACACACACATATATATATATCACATTTCTTTATCCAGTCATCAATTGAAGGATATTTAGATTGATGCCATATCTTAGCTATTGTGAATTCAGCTGCAGTAAACATGGAGGTACAGATAACTCTTTCATATGCTGATTTAATTTCATTTAATTCATCCCAGGAGCATGATGGCCAGGTCCTGTGGTAGGATCTATTTTCAGATTTCTGAGTAATCTCCTTACTATCTTCCATAATGGTTGTACTAGTTTACATTCCAATCAACAGTGTATTAGGGTACCTTTTCCCCCATATCTTCACCAAAATTTATTATGAACCCTTTTATGCTATATTCCATTAATTATATATTATATCCTGCCATGTCTCACCACACAATATGTATTTACAATAAAGCAACCTAGCTAATATCAGGTATATCCTACTACAAATTTTTACAGTCTAGGACTCTGTTATCTTTTGGCTAATAAATACTCTTATTTATTATATTATTAATAATTACTATTATGTGTGTTTATAAGAAGATCAGGTTATTAACATATTTTCAAGGAGTTTTGAGTGAGACCGTTCATTTCATTCTGGGCATCCCTTGGTAAAAGGGGAAGAAACTATAAGCCCAGTGCTAAACTTTTTCATTCTAGGTTTATTGTGAGTAAAACCAAACAAATTATAAGTCCCACAGAATCCCTCTTGCCAATGGAAACAATCTCTCCTCCAAAGTCTGATTATCCTGATCCTTACTGTTTTGAAGGCCCATTTCTAGGAAATGTCAACTCTTCTCATATTCTCCCTCCATCACTTCTCACTGCTTACAGGCACCTATATCTGGAATGAGATCCCAGAATGCCTCAAATGACAAAAGCTTAGAACAGAATTTATATTGGTGAGGCCAGCGTTGTGGTTCAGTGGGTTAAGGCACACCCTGTGATACTGGCATCACATATAAGCACCAATTTGAGTCCTGCCTATTCCATTTCCAGTTCAGCTCCCTGATAATGCTCCAGGGAAGGCAGCACATGATAGCCCAAGTGCGTGGACCCCTGCTACACCTATGGGAGACTTGAATGGAATTCCAAGATCCTGGTTTTTGTTTGGCCCAGCCCCCAACCATGGTAGCCCTTTGGGGCATGAAACAGCAGACAGACGATCTCTTGCTCTCTTTGTAGTTCTGCCTTTCAAATAATTTTTTTAAAAAGATTTTATATAGTCAAAATTCCGTAGAGTATGTGTGGGAATGATTCAAAGGGTACTAGATAAGGATATGAGAAGATAATTTTATGTGAGGCTAAATGTACACAGGTACTCATACTAGAGATTTGGTTTCAATATAACAGAATCCAAGTAGTAAGCAGTATTTGGTGCTCTGAAACTTTGGCTGAGAAGTAGCCTAGCTTAATGAAATTGGGATGACTGCCATGTCTTGGGGTCATATAGAAGAAATAATTCACAAATTTACTGGGAAAAAAATGTTGCTGGAATGGGTATCACCCATGACACCTCCCCTATCATGTTCTTTGGGAGTCCTCAAAGGGCACTGAAAAATACACTGGTGAGGAAAGTATTGGCATCCTTAAAAGACACTGTAATGGTTGTCCTCTACACATGCCTAAAGGTGAGAGATACAGCCACTGAAACGGGATTGCTGATTTTTTTTTTGACAGGCAGAGTTAGACAGTGAGAGAGAGAGAGAGAAACACAGAGAGAGTTATAGACAGTGAGAGACAGAGAAAGGTCTTCCTTCCGTTGGTTCACCCCTCAAATGGCCGCCACGGCTGGCACTTCCGATCCAAAGCCAGGAGCCGGGTACTTCTTCCTGGTCTCCTATGCGGGTGCAGGGACCCAAGCACTTGGGCCATCCTCCGCTGCCCTCCCAGGCCACAGCAGAGAGCTGGACTGGAAGAGGAGCAACTGGGACTAGTACCTGGCGCCCCAAACAGGACTAGAACCCAGGGTGCTGGTGCCGCAGGTGGAGGATTAGCCAAGTGAGCCATGGCGCCGGCCCGGGCTTGTTGATTTTAAAAGGGATGATGAGACCTTGCTATGGTAGAGGCCAAGCAGTATCTAACTGGCAACAGATTCATGGTCTCAATAATAAGCACAATCCTGCAATGGTAATCAGAATAGATTAACTCAGATATTCTTGGTAGTGACTAATTGATCATGTCACCAATTTCAAAACAATGATGATATTAATAAGATCTATTTCTTTCTTTTCATCTATATTCTTTTTACTATTTATCTAGAAGATCTCATTGCTTCAATTTTCACATTTTCTAATAACTCATAAGTTTTTATTTCTAGTTTGTAGTTATCACTTGAGTAAAAGGAGATCCAAGGAGGCTACTCAGAATTTAACACATGCCTGGATTTGGGATTAAAACAAAAAAAGGAGGGTGTCAAAATCATGCCTAAAAACGTATACACAAAAGCAAGAGGCTGTCACTAGAGCTGCTCAAACCTATGAAGAACAAAATAAGGGAGGCTATGTTGGAAATATGCTGTCATATCCACAGACATTATGGCGGAGCTGCCTTTTCTCTGGGGATCAGATATAGACCCTTTGAGGTCTATATCTGAGAAATTACAATGGTGTCATTTTAAATGGATTCAAAATAAGGAGGCGTCAGGAAGCTTCAAAGGAGAAATTTCAGGCAAGTATAAAAAGGCACTGATTCCACTTAAGAGCTGAAATCAAGGTTCTCAGTATAAGGGTCTCAGAAATTCATCCAGAAAAACTCAATGGGGGATAAGAACTACTGTGCATTTACATGGTCCAGAGGGAATCAAACCCAGATGCCACTCTTGTCCCATCTAGTGGGACTGTGCTCCCTTCTCTTACTTCCTCCACCCATGGACCTTTCTCAGGAGGAGGAGAGGTAAAAGGCACATCATGCTTTCACCACCACTGTAGGATTCTAGGTTCAATACAGGAGGGAGAAGTTTAAAGATTAACAGGAATGAAGTTTAGTTTATTATAATGAACTGAAATAGAATGTTCCTGTGACTGAAAAGGACTAGCAAAGTAAAGAATTCACCTAAGATTTAATTGGGATTGGAAAAATGGGTCACAGAATAAGTAGTGATAAAGAATAAACTCTGGGTTTAGCTTGGGTTTATCTCCTTCAGCGTATCCGTTATAACTGTTAGAAATGTAACTGATTCAGCTAAAACTGTGTCAGTAGGTATCTTCCCTCTAGAGGAATACTAGAAGAAAAGACAACCCTGGTATGTAAATCTGAGTGCCAAGGAACACAGTCAGTCCTGGTCTAAGATCTCCTATGGGGATTCAGATGTCCTACCTTATGACACTTGTGCAAGTACAGTTCGATTCTTTCCCGAAGCAACAAGATTCCAACTATCTGCAAAAGAAAAAAAAAAAAGAACAGGAGGTTGTTTTGAAATCACCAAGTTGCTGCCCAAAGCACTGTTCTGTAGTTTAAAACTTCTTTCACAGTTGGGCACTACATTCACTTTTCAGCCTCTAGGAGTTTACCATGCTGTTCTCTGCCTGAAAAGCTCTCCCTCTCCATGTCACTAACTCTTCAAAACCAGTTTAAACATCGCCTCCTATTGGTAACCATCATCAGCACCCCCAAGAAGGATTGATTATTTCTTCTGAGCTTTCCTAATCATTTACCACACTGATGCCCGTCTTCAGTTCCTGTCCATTTCTTTTCCCTGTGATGGACTCTATACCTGGCATTACTTACATTGAGGTCAAGGGTCAGCCTTCCCAAGAGTCATTTAAAAACTTTTTCTTGAGAAACATAGGTATTACAACTGTTGTTAACACTGGTATACATCAATAAATCTTAGATTTGAATATAAAGCTAGCTGGTCACCAAGTCAATATGGTGATGGAAACTGAAAGCAAGTCCACAGATGACTGATATTAATGATGGTCTAAATGTAAGGTACTTTTTGATCAAAAATTACTTCATTTGTTCTTTACTCAAATGTAAATTTGAGTAATTACTTCATTTGTTCTTTACTCAGCCTGATAAAATATCATTTTATTAAATATTATCATTCTCGTTTGAATACAGGAAACTGAAGCTCAGTCACCTAATGATAGATCTGTAAGCAGAATTTATTTCCTTACTTTTTAACTGTTGTTGCCATTGTATGTATCCAAAAGAGGCAGGGTAGAGTAAAAAGTGTAAAATATATTGTTAAAATATATTGCTTTATTGGATGCTGGAATTTGCCCCAACCTTAGCAGCTAACTATATCATTTCATGTTCATTGTGGATGAAAGTGGTTCAGTTGTTCAGTTCAATGGTCAGATTTTGGCCCAAAATGCATATTTAATTTGCATTTTTACAACTAAAAACAAAAGTTTCAAATTGGTCTGACTAAAGCACCCTCCAAATCCAATTTTCAAATTAATTTTCTAAAACAGAAGCTTACTTTATGCCAATGTCTTATCCTTATTTTCTGGCCTTCCAAAATATGTCAGAAACCTTCCTTTTCAGCCATGTTTCTCCATTATTCTCCATTATTCTCTACATGCCAGCAGAATTGATCTTTCCCTCTACGGGCACATTCTGTGTTTTTCTGTCTGGTAAACTTTTTCATGATGTTCCTTCAACCCAGAATGTTCTCTGCCATTCCCATATCCATATCTAGCGTTCCTTTCAGATAGCACTACAATAAAAATCCTTCTTTAATTATTTTAGCTGGAAGTCACATCTTTCTCCTCAGACCCTCAAGAACCTTATTTGTGCCCCTCTGACAACAATCACAATGTCCCATCTGTGATAGATTTGGTTGAAGGGATAGTTATAACTTTCTAGCTCAATCCTATCTCTGAAATATCCTACATGGAATAATATATAATTAATAAATAATATATAATTAATAAATTTTATTGAAGAAAAAAGTGATGCAAATGCTAGATTTGGGGGATGTCTTCTGTTGTATCAGACTGGGTATCAGTGAAATGGAAATCACTGGAATGGCAAAATCAGAGAAATATGTCTTCTCTACATATCAGCAAAAGTATGAGCTGAAAAATTCTTCCCAACATTATTTTCCTACTAAGCTTTATATTCTCATAGACTTTCTCTTGCATTGCATAAGTTTCTCACACTATAGTATATCAGATAATAGAAGAAGGGCCATACTATTGCCTAAAGACTTTTGCCAAAACATACTCTGCATCTGAGCTAGGTGACTAGCATTTGTAAATTAGAATGGATTTACAAACTAATTTATAAGGCCCATAAAGACTGCTTATTTGAAGCTGTGGGTGTCTAAAATGACAATTCTGAGGAATCAGAGTAGACTAGGAAACAGGGGAAGGGAGAAGGGATGTGCTGCCACCCTTTCAATGGGCCCAACTGTAAGTCACATCCTCTAATAGCTCTAGCCCCCCACTCCCAGTCCTTTATGCCTAAAATTCAAGTAGCTGACATAAACCCCAACTCTGCTTAGACATGAATGATATTTAGGACCTGAGTTCTCCTAACACCAACTGGATACCATTTCCCAAGTAGGAGGACCTCCTGAGGCTACCCAAGAAAGACACATGGGAAGTGTTACTCACCACCAGCAATGAAGTATACGCAGTCAGGGTCCCAAGTATACTCAGAAAAATTATGGAACCGAAGACCCAGATTCCTGTTCCTAGAAAAATGACCCTGAAAAAACGTGTTTCAATCCTTAAAACAGAGCAGAAACCAGCAGCACCTCTATCTAGGATGGGGACAAACAGATTAGTTGAGGTATAAGAAAATGGAGGGAGATAAGAAGAGAGGCAGTTGCAAATAGATCTGTGAAAGTTTTCAGAATATTTACTTGAGGAGTTTCAACTCTGTCCTGTAGGCAACTGGGAACATTAATAGTGTCTTATTTTAAGGGGAAGTATTTTTAAAATTATTTAGAATAGATATTCAAAGAGCATATCATCCTTAAAATCAACATAAATACAGAACTTTTATAATAACAAGAGAAAAAAGTCATCCCATAATTTCAGCTCCTTATTCAAACTAATATTTTTCATTTTGGCAGGTTCCTTATCCATGCACATGTACATTGAATTACAGAAATGTAATCACAGCCACTGTATTAACTGCTGTCTTAGCAGAACAGATTGTTCTATTCCTAAAGTAGTATATGAGGGTAAAAAAATGTTAAGATTTATTTAATTTACTTGAAAGGCAGCGTGATAGAAAGAAATACAGAAAGAGTGGGAGAAAGAGAAGAGAGAGATGCTCAGCCTGCTGGTTCACTCCCCAAATGGCCACAAAAACCAAGACTGGGCCAGGCCAAACCAGAAAGCCTCCCATGTGATTTGCAGGGGTCCAGATGCTTGGACCATCCTACACTTCTTTCCAAAGTGCATTTGCAGGAGGCTGGATTTTTTTTTTTACAGGCAGAGTGGACAGTGAGAGAGAGAGAGACAGAGAGAAAGGAGGCTGGATTGGAAGCAGAGCAGCCAGGACTAGAGCTGGCACTCAGACATGGGATGCCAGTGTTGCAGGCAGCATCATAACCTGCTAATGATCTGTTAAGAGAAACAACGGTATATTAGGGCTAGCATCATTTGTCAAATAATTTAGACTTTTTATTTTAAGACAACAGAAATTACCTACTCACCATATAAAATAGGGAGAGATTATGTTTTTAAAGCTATAAAATACATGTTATAGAACATATAGCCCACATAAAAAATAAAAAAGGAAGGGGTCATTTGGCACAGTGGTTAAGATGCCATCTGTGATGTCTGTATCTACATCGCAATAGCTGGGTTTTCAATATTTGGCATCAGCTCTGGGCTCCAGCTTCCTGCTAGTGCAGTTCCTGGGAAGCAATGTTGACAGATCAAGTAACTAGGTTCCTGCCACCCAGATGGGAGATGTGGATCAAGTTCTTACCTCCTGCTTCAGTTTGGTGCAGTTCCAATAACTGCAGACAGTTAGAGAGTGAACCAGCAGATGGGAACTCTGTTTCTCATTCGATCTCTCAAATAAATTTTAAAACTTTTTAATTTAAAAGAGGGGTGCTGGCATTATGGCATAGCAGGTAAAGCCTTCACTTGTGTTGCCGGCATCCTATAAAGGTGTCAATTTGTATCCTGGCCACACCACTTATGATCCAGCTCCCTGCTAATGGTTTGGAAAAGCAGTGGAAGATGGCCCAAGTGTTTGGATCCCATCACCTATATGGAAGATCCATATGAAGCTCCTGGCTTCAACCTGGCCCAGCCCTGGCTGTTGCAGCAATATGGGCACAGGGTGTTAACCCAGCAGATCCAAAATCTCTCTGCGTCTCTCCCTCTCTCACTGTAACTCTTTCAAAATAAATAAATAAATCTTTAAAAAAGGAAATGGGGAAGGGTGTTTAACATAGCAGTTAAGACATTGTTTGGGATATACATATCCCATCTTCCTGGCTTCATTTTGGATCCAGCTTCCTGCTAATGAGCACCGTAGGAGTCAGCTCAATTGGTTGGGTCTTGGAACACATATTGGAGAACCAAATTGAACTCTGGGATTATAACTTCAGCCTAGCTCAGCCCCAACTGTTGTAGGCATTTGGGATATGAACCACCGGAAGGAGCATCTCCTTCCCTCCTTTCATCCCTCCCCTTCTTTCTCTCTGCCTTTTAAAAAAAGAGAAAAGAACTACCACAAGCCCATTATATTCCTTATTTTCACTAAAATGTTCTTTGTAGGCAACTACTTTGTCAACGAAAGCCATGTCTTCAACATCTACTTGATGCTGGACTTCTATAGGTGATAACTTAATTATTTTACCACTGCATGCCATGGACTCCCACTATCTCCTTTACCACTGGAAACAGAGACATTAAATTTTTAAGTGTAATCAAAGAAGAGTACCAGAACCAGCTTAGAGAACTCATTCTTTTTTTTTAATTTTTTTTATTTGACAAGTAGAGTATAGACAGTGAGAGAGAGAGAGAGACAGAGAGAAAGGTCTTCTGTGGGGAGCAACTCGGACTAGACTAAGTTACTGGAATTAAGACTTATTCTATGCATCTGCTCTCCCACAATATGGCGCTGAGAAGAGAGAAACAGCTTCTATACAGCTGCCTCCAGTTCAACCAATAAATTGTAGGACCTACTCCTGATTGGAGGAGAGCAGCGTACTCGGCGTGTAGGTAGCAGAGTTGGGATTGGTGGAAGAGGACTATAAAGGAGGAGAGAGACAACATGCACCAGGAACATCTAAGGGGAACATCTATCTGAAGGAACACCTGTGCAGCCCCCGAGAGAGCCGGCCGGCAGTGTGCCGCTCCCCCGCGGAAGTGGGGAAAGTGGCCAGGGGGAACCGCCCTTCCACGGAGGTGGAAGGGACGGTAGCCAACCCGGGAAGAACCAGCAGCAAACCTGGGGAGGGCCGAGCAGACAAAAGAACAGCGCAGGGTCCTGTGTCGTTCCTCCACGAAGAGGGGGAGCGACAGTCTTCCTTCCGTTGGTTCACACCCCAATGGCCACTATGGCCGGAGCTATGCTGATCCGAAGCCAGGAGCCAGGTGCTTCCTCCTGGTCTCCCGTGCAGGTGCAGGGGCCCAAGCACTTGGGCCATCCTCCACTGCCTTTCCGGGCCACAGCAGAGAGCTGGACTGGAAGAGGAACAACTGGGACTAGAACCCGGCGCACATGTAGGATGCCAGTGCTGCAGGTAGAGGATTAACCAAGTGAGCCACAGCACTGGCCCCAAGAACTCATTCTGAAATGTCTGTCCCTCTACAACTGCCACTGATATGAAATTCTGTATCTGTAAGGGTTTGCTCAGAGAAACAGAACCACCATGAGTGATGTACAATAAGAGATTATAGGAATTAAGATTTACACAATTTTGGAAACTTATAGAGAGATCTGTGAAAGAGGTTGTTGTCTCAACATGTGGTATTTGATATGTAAGCATGCATGCATGTATGTAAGTATTTATTTGAAAGGAAGGGTGACAGAAGGAAGGGAAGAAAGAGAAGAAGATGGTCCATCTGCTGGTTTACTTCTGAATGCCTGTAACAGGTAGGGCTGCGCCAGAATGACTACAGAGGCCCTAAATACCAATCAGATGTCCCCCATGAGTGGCAGGACCCCAATTAATTGGGCCATCATTTGCTGCCTCTCTTACATACATTAGCAGGAAGCTGGATGAGATAGTATTTGGTTTTACAACCCCATACAATGGTACTTCAACAAGCTCACAAAGGACAATCAAAAGTTAAGTTTATTTCATGAAAAAATATGGGGATCAATTGAAATGAGTACTAACTATTCAAAAAATCAGTAATGTCATTTGTGGTTAAAAATATATGTAGAATTTGGCCGGCACCGCGGCTCAATAGGCTAATCCTCCGCCTTGCGGCGCTGGCACACCAGGTTCTAGTCCCGGTTGGGGCGCCGGATTCTGTCCCGGTTGCCCCTCTTCCAGGCCAGCTCTCTGCTGTGGCCCGGGAGTGCAGTGGAGGACGGCCCAGGTCCTTGGGCCCTGCACCCACATGGGAGACCACGAGAAGCACCTAACTCCTGGCTTCGGATCAGCGCGATGTGCCGGCCGCAGCACTCTGGCCACAGCGGCCATTGGGGGTGAACCAACAGCAAAGGAAGACCTTTCTCTCTGTCTCTCTCTCTCTCTCTCACTGTCCACTCTGCAGATTAAAAAAACAAAAAGAAAAAAGAAACCCAAGTGGGAGGTTCCAAGATGGCCAAATAGGGAGGGAGCTCACCGATCTAGTCCAGGAGAAGATAGTTTAATAAAGGTGGAGATAGTGTAGTCTCAGGGAAGAGTTAGGGAAAAAATGGCAGAGGAAACTCTTCCATAATTAGAGAGACACAGTGGACCTAAGTGGAGGGTGTGGGCACCCACGGCTCGGGACTCCAGCAGCCCAGAGCCTCCACACCAGCACTGGAAAGAGAAGTGAGATGAGACCACAGTAGCCCAAAACACTGGTGGAAAAGCAGCAGGAAGAGCCTAGAGGGAACAAGGCTTGAAGTCCTATAGGGGAAAGTACACCATCCTAACTAAAGGAGAGAAAAAATACAAGGGACAGTATGGACACGATTATCTCTCCATACAAGCTGATAGAGCAGGCACCATTTTGGACATAGTAACAGCTGTGCCAACTCATGTCTGTGCCCAACAATCAGCGGAGCAGAGAAACCTGACTCTGGTGGGGAGTGATAACAGGAGGCTAAGACCTAGTGACTGTGTGGAGCTTTTGAACCGGGACTGTGGAAAAAAAAAAAAAAACTGAGGGTGTGTGGGAGAACTCATGGTGTGGCTGAGACTTTGAGACGTCTCAGTGGGAGACACCACAAGCTCAGGTGGTCCTGGCTACCTGGTGGCAGATAGTGTTGGGGAATTGGAACCTACATTGAGGATTGAAAAGATTCTTTGTGTGGTCCTTGGGACACAGTAGACGAATATTATACGCATTGGGGCAGGCGCTCAGGCACTGATTGCCATAGAGGAGAAGAGCTCAGCTGAGCAAAATTACTTCCCTTCTGACTTAAAAAAGAGAGAGAGAGAGAGAGAGAGAGAGAGAAAGATTTACCACGCCAACCTGGGTATGTCACCTTAGGCATGCCCATAACCCTGAAGAACTGAACAGAGCTCTCTGACCTTGTCCACTACAAGCCTCTAGAGATTCACTGAAAGTAGACAA